CTGCTTTCACTTGTTTACTTGCAGTTCATCCCCTTCCCTCTCTGCTCAACGGTATGTTCTTTAGTCTGCTTGACCGTGTCTCACGGTGTTGTCGCTTGCAGATTTACTTATACTTCTTCAACCCTGAAGATGGGGGCGATACGTTCCTCCGAAACGTCGGTTAACACCACATATACACGGTGCCAAATCCCAGAAGACTGCTTTCTACAACCATCTTGCTGTGCCACTTAATTGTGATGAATTCCCCCTTTCATCCTCAGTAAAAGCAATCTGCCAAATCCTAACATTCCCATTTGCCCTTTTCCCATTATCTCAATATTTATTTTTATGCAGTTCATTACCTTAGTGCTCAATTTGTCAATGACTGAAGTAAGACTGTCATACCAAGCAAGGTGGTGTAGCAGTTACACCCTAGACTTGTATTCTGGAAGCGCTAAGTTTGAATATCAACTGGGACACTAGCATCCCGATGGGGTTTTCATGCTTTTCCTTAATCCCTCCAGGCAAATTCTGGGACAGTACCTCAAATAGGTCATGGCCACTTCCTTCCATATTTTTCCAATCCATCATTAATAAGTCCTACCATTAGATGCTGTAGTTGCAGAAACTGACAGTGTCATGCAATAAACCACCCAAAAAGGATGGACACTTTATTTTTAATCTTCAACTGGAACACCCCTTTATTAGTATTATGTTCTATAAATGAGATACATACCCTATGACAGGCCCTATCAACATGTAACTTCTAGGCAAACCTCATGGTGTTCTTCAATATTGCCCTCTGGTACCCATATGTACACAGAAAATATTACAATTTTTGTTCCTTTTGGGGGGGGGAGGGGGGTTGCAATAAATTTGAAAGTAAAACTTACTGAAGTTGCCACCTGTTTAACCACTTAAGAACCATCAGTACTTCACTAAAATCATTTTCAGATGCTAAATTTCCCAGAAAACTTTCAAACTATTCTGAATGTCATTTGCTTGCTGTCTTTTTTTTTTT